TGAGTGACTGTGATATTACAGAGATGTGGGCGGGGGAAGGAGGGGACCCAGGCAGTGGGGACGGCACATATAAAAGCAGAAGTGCGCTGTGTTCAGGGTCAGTGAATACACAGGATAGTGTGAGAGAGGGGAGAGGTAGAAGATAAAGAGGTGGGATCGGTGGGGTTAGGTTGCTGAGGGCCTTGCCGCCCCAAAGGAGCTGGATCTTACCCTGTTTAAGAAGGTGGCAGGTGTTTTAACCGAGGTAGCAGGATAGACAGGTGTGTGTCATCGAAAGAGAACTCTGGTAGCCACATGGAGGATGGCTGTGAGCAGAGAAAAGCCTGGGAGGCTAGTTCAAGATTGTCTCAAAAGTTTGATTATAAATGTGAAAACAGGAGTTAAGAAAAGTTAAAAGTTAGGGCAGTAGGGATAGAATCGGAAATAACGTTTAAATCTCTGTACTCTCCCATACATTGTCTTGTCGTCATTTTATACCTCTCGTCTCTGGAAAAGGCATCCCTTAAAAGAGTGGGTGGGTGAAAGTGTTTATAAAGTTTCAACACATGACTTGAGTACCTTCTGTATTTTCCTTAACCCCAAGTGAATTTGGAAATTCATGATAACCATTTACATGAGTAAAGGAAATTAGAAAGGTTGGTATATGAGAATCCAAGAGAAAAAGGTGTTTTACATTGTGCATTATCTTAACTCTAATGTATTAATAAAACATTATTTTATTTCCTTTCTCCTATTTCTCGTTCTTTTCCTTTCTCCCTTGCCCTTAAAGTATTTATTATAATATATTCCCATATTCACTTGCTTTAGAGAAAGTTGTGTTTTGAGGTTAGAAACCATTTTATCTGCATGTATTTGATGAGTTCAATATTTTGCCTTCTTCAAAGCCAAAAGCATTTCATAGCTGACAAGAAAGGATTTTTAATATCTTGACAACAGATACTTAGAATTGTCCACTTATATAAGTATAGCACTAGGTGCCATGACTAGCAAAAGACAGATTGGTGAAGCATGGTCCTTGTTTTTCAAAAGGAGGGCAGAGTAAGTCAGAATAATTTAATTCCTCTCACTAGCAACTTATCTTATTCAAAGGTTTCCTGGCTGAAAAAGGGCTTTGTTACAGTGCAGATAAAATGACATACTAGATTATTCACACCAGTGCTAAAAATTGATGTTGTTTCTCCTACTTGCTGAATTTCAAACTAATGAGATTTGACTATTATACAACTGTAGCTGTTGTCATGTAGCTTTACAATTACCACAGCTAGACTCTTTTATAAAAAACCAGCTGCTATATTGTTTTATAATATTGGACAGAGTTTGCTTTCTTTGTTCACTTTTCTTTATCCTTCCACAATTATGTTCTTTGGTAGTATACCACACAGGTAACAATGGATTTTCCTCATAAGAAGATTTTTTTAAAGCAAGGCATTAAATCATTGATTTTACAAATGTGACAGTACATTTTCCTTCTGAAATATTAGAAAGGATTAGTCACTTTTTATTTTAGGTTTAATTAAGGTCATATAACACAAGCCCCCTAGAGTGTTTTGTGGCTCTGTGGTTATCTCTGTTTAAATGCTGAAATTCACAACTCTTAGAATAGTAATTAGCAGTGGCATTGACTTTTGGGATGACCTAAGCAAAAGTTGCTGTGAGGCACTTTGACGCTGTGTTAATTGCAGAATAATCAAATATTCAGCTTGCCAGTTTCTCTCCTTGTCTGATTCCAACTTGTTCTCGATAGCAATTGTGTATTTTCTCTTCTCAGACTTCCGCTATGTGGATAGTTCACCTTTGTCATGTTGTGGGCCTTGCAGAGTGGAGGTTGAACTAAATAAAGAATTCTTCACAATGTCATAAAGTCCTTGAAGCCAGGACTGTGTTTTGAGATTCTTTTAGATACACATACCCTGTCTAGTGCAAGGTCCCTGTAATGTGTAGTGAATATGGGCGTCACAGTCAGTAATCTTGGTAAATTAGGAGATGTTGCAGAGAGAAAAGCCTAGGACCCTGTTTCTGTGACTTGATCTTTGGGGGTTATTGGAGTCTTAAGCCTTATGGGCCTCTCTAAGGTAACTATATATTTAACCAAAAAAATCTGAGGCTTATTTTCTCAGGCTGTCTGGGTGTTTATTTACATGCAGAAATTAATTTGCACTTATAATTTGCAAACACAATGCAAAACCAAATACAGGCTATGGATCAAGATACAGTGCCTTGCAGAATGCCTGCCATATGGTCAGTCCCAAAGATATATCTACAAATGGAAATAGATTTGAAACATGATAGATATAAAAATGGGAAAGAATCAGTCTTTTGAGTCAATAAATGCTATCTCTATCTATATCTGTTGGACAAAATTAACTCTCTAGAGAAAACCCATTTTGGTGATATATAAATTTGATTTATTGATGAGAGAACTATTCACTGTCTAGAGATGCTCTAAGAAAACAGCCTATCTTAAATATTCCCAATGAAAAAGCATCTGTAAATATAGACATTTTAGCATTTTCCTAAAGCATGTTACAAAGAAGAAAGGGGCCATCACAATTACAGATATGAATGAATAGCAGGTGGTTGACACGGAAGCTGAGGTCAGACGAGTCTAGGGTCATAAAACTCATGAAGAGAACTTTCTAGATCATCTGGTTCAACTAGATGAAGATGCTGAGAACCAGAGCAGGTGTTGCTCTCCTGGTCATAGGTAGGTAGTTTAATCTTTCTTTTTCTATCTTTCTTGCTCCTCTGTCACATCATTTACTCTATAAATATCTTTTGTTTTGTTATTATTTTTTATTTATTTTTATAATTTAATTTTATTTTATCTCTTTTTTTCTTGGAAGATGGTCCAGATATAAATATCTTTTGAATGCTTTATCTGTTCCAGTCACTGTTTAATCTGTTAAAGATATGAAGAAAATGGATAATTTTTTTACCATAAAGAATCTAGAAAAAGGGGAATTGGAGAAAAAAAAATTTAATTATGCTACTTATACAGTGCTTTACAGTTTTCCCAGTATTTTTGCTTAGCTCATTCTTTTTAACCATGACAAATAAGTTAATAACTTTTGGTTTTAAGCACTAATCATTCAATATTTCTTTAGACCTAACTTAGGGAGAGTCTTCTTTGAAAGACAGACTATGTTAGTGAGCATCATTCTATCTAAAGATGATCTAAGAAGGATCATTTATTTGGCTCACCAAACAGCATTTGAAGCTGTGCAGGACCAGTAGAATTTAATACATTTTCCCCTTTGGTATTAACCAGACTTGTAGATAGTGGGGCAGCATGAGCTAATCTTACTTGAATCAGCTGACCATTGATGATTGAAATACTTTGTCAGAAATTTATCTTTAATGCTCCAAGGCAGTTATCACAATGCAAATCACTGAGATAGGCAAGCCATGGCTAATCACACAAATAAAACAGGCCAATTTTTCTCCAAGATATTTTAAATATTTAACCTACTCACTGCCCCAAATGGATTCTCTGAAGGCATCTCATGGCTAAGATTTTAGGGTGTCCAGAAATGAATCATGATGTACAACTCATTACCTCATAAGCAATGGTCAGGTGATGTATTTATAACCTCATTGAGATGGTCCATGGCAGTGACTACAGCCAATGGTGAATGTTATTTGAGTATTAACTCCCTTGTTGCTTGCACAGGGGAGCTTAATGAGGATCAGGAACTAAAAACATGGTGTGTTTGCTGATCTCCTGGACTCCTCTATTGCCATGGTTTGGAGGAGATTACTGTTTAGTGGGAGGATACAAGGAAGTAATTTCAATGCTTTAAGGAGGGCCAGTTCCCATAGCCAGTGGGTTGAGGAGAAGATGATAAGAAGACTTTGTCGAAGGGTCATACCTGAGCTTAGTTCCAAAAGATGATAGAGAGTTGGCTCGAGAGTTGGCCAGGTGAAGAACGATTGGAAATGAGTTCTAAGCAGAGGAAACAATATGAGCAAAGTCATGGAGGCATGGAACAGCAAGGTGGTTATGTGGGACTCCACTTTGGTGCTAGCAAAGTAGGAAATGCAAGGTGAGGAGGGCTAGGAGATGAAGCCAGAGAGATAACTAGGTATTATCATGAAGAACACATAGCAAGAGACCTAGCTGACAATGGTCTGAACTTGGACGGTGGCAGCAGAAATAAAGGAGGGGACCACTTCTGTCCACAGAGATGCTGATCTCGTAGTCACAGTAGTTGTCAGCAGTTTAGCTGGAAAGGGACAATGTCCTCTGAATAGCTCTTCTTATTTTAGTCCGACATCGCACTTAACCAGCTTAAGAGAGAATGAGGCCAAAGTAGTCCATTTTTAAATTTACGCTGGAAGTCAGTGCATCCTTTTTGACTAAACTAATATTTGAGAAGGACCAAATGAATAAGAGAAGAACCCCTGGGTATCTCTACACGGAATGTGCGCTGTATACTTCCAGGAGGGGCCGTGCTGTAGACTACAATGTGAGTGATGCCCCCTGGAGTTGTGTAGAGCAACTGACCCTGTGTGGAAGTGAATTGACTTTAACATGAAGAGAAACAAATTAAGCACAGGATTTCCAGCACTTTGACCTCCTTTGAAGCGTCCCAATTCACCTCTTAAATATGCTGAACAGCTGACAGAGACAGAAAAACTTCATTCTCTAGTTAGATCACTTTCGTCTTAGTACAGTATTATCTAAGATAGTCTTCAGGACTTTTTATTTAGAAGAGTCTATACTTATTGGGATTTCTGTTTTTGTTTTTTGTTTTTTTGTTTTGTTTTTATCATTCACAGTTATGGGAACTACAGATAAAAACAAAGCGTACCTTGCCTTTCTCCCCTGTTCACCCTGCCCCTACCAAAAAAGGGTTGAGAATTTATGGGTGATTTCTTTGAAAATACAAAATGTGGTATCTTAAAACTGTTGAGTCTGCTTTATAAATGTAGCTGTGGGCTATGTAGCTGGAAAGGAAATGTCACATAAAAAATGCCTGGGTTGGCTGTTCCGGGCATACATGGCTGGCTCCCCCCAAGGCCAATGCGTAGGTAGGTTCTGTTCGACGTGCAATTATGTCATTGTAGGGATTACAGATCTTCATTGTATCTAAAGAAGAAAACTGCATGGAGGGTGTCTTGTTCAAGTTGTTTGCATAAGCGAGAACTTCTTGTGCAAGGTTTTTGTTTCCATGGTCCCCAGTCTGTTGGTTCTCCTCTGGGTGAGGAGAGCAGTCCCGTCTCAGAACTGTCATCTGGAGGACCATAGCAAAGGCGAATTGTCTTCTGGGCCACTTTAAAAAAAATTTTTTTTTTTTGACAGGCCATGCTTTTGGATGCTTTTTCAAAATGACAAGAAATTCTCCTCTTAATGTTTCAGTTTAATTTTTCTCATTGTCCTGTTCACAGTGAAAAATGTTCCTTCGGCCCAGTTTTTCCTTATACTGCTGACAGCGTGACAAACACAGAGGCAGGTGACTTGGTGTGCAGACACCACCCCCGCATTGTCTATGGGAAGTCTATTCATCCCCGCTTCCACTCCTTGCCAGAGTGACGGTGGGCTAGGTGACGTTTTTAAATTAGCTAACTTTGATTTATGAGTGGGCTTTATTCTTTCACCTTTAATAAATGCATTAATGCCATTTTCCTGTCAGAGTTCTGGCAAGCCCTTCTATGTATTGATCTGCAATTTTCCCAGATTGTGTGGGGTTAGCGGGGTGTAAGGAAGGAGGATATATGTGGAAATAACAAACTTTCTATGGCAATAGCAAGTGTCTGTGATAATCCCGTTAGGAACCACATTTCAGTGGAGCTGTGAAGTAACCGAGACGGTGTGTAGATGAGGACATGAGGAAAGAACATTTCTGGTTAGGGCTCCCCATTCGTTGTGAGTGAAAGGGGGTTTCACAGTAGCCTACCAGGCCCTAAAGCAGCGGTCCCCAACCTTTTTGGCACCAGGGACCGTTTTCATGGCAGACAATTTTTCCACAGACCAAGGAGTGGAGGGAAGGTTTTGGGATGATTCAAGTGCATTACATGTATTGCGCACTTTATTTCTATTGTTATTACATTATAATATGTAACAAAATAATTATACAGCTCAGCATAGGTTGGGACCCTGCCCTAAAGGATCTGGTCTCCTGCACACACCTGAACTTGTCTCCTCTTCCTCTCTCTCTCTGCCCACCCCCTTCGGCCACCCTCACCTCCTTGTCATTCCTTGGACATGCCAGCTACTCTCTGCCTCGGGGTCTTTGTAGGGGCTGTTCCTACTGCTGGAATTCCCTTTGCCTACACACCTGCCTGGCTAACTGTCACATCTCCTTCAAATCTGTGCTCGCATCTCACCTCCTCAACAATGCTATCGCTGAATACACTCCGTTTTCTCTTTTCTGTTGAATTTACCTATTATAAAATATTATTGCCTTTTTCTCTTGACAGAATGTAAACCTCATCAGAGCAGGAGTCTTGGCTTTTTTTTTTTTTTTTTTTTACTGCTATATCCCAGGTGACTAAAATAGTGCCAGGCATGTAGTGAGCCCTCAATAAATAATTGTTGAATAAAGAATAGACATAAGCCAGGGAAGTCTTTACTGTCAGCACTCTCTGTACAGCCCCTGTCCCCTTCCATTATCCTATACATTTTCTTTTCTTAAATCTTCTTTGTTTTACTTGAAATGACTTATTCAAAGTTAGTATTTCCCCATAGGCTGCACACTCCCCTAGCACAGGGCCATGTCTATTTTTAAATTCCCAACATTTGCGTAGTACTATGACAATAATAATGTTGAATTATAATGAAATTTGTTGTCTATTTCCTGGATAAGTGATTTATTTTACAGCTTTGTTTTAGTCTTCAGCATATGCTATGGCCACAACTTAGGGTAATTTGTACTGTCCCTTCCAGGTCATTAGGTTTGTGTTAACGATGCCTCCCTAGAGCAGATAATGAAAAATACTAACACTTCAAATATACCTTAAAATGCACCGAAGAAAATAATCTTTAGTATGAGCATGGAAAAATTGCTTAACAAGTTAATGAATTTGAATATAAGATTTTTTTTCCCTAGAAAACCCTGGAAGAGATTAAATGGAGGCTTCCTCATCATCTAACTAAAGTGAGTCCTGATGACATTTTCTCACGTTGTCCTGTTTTGTTTCCTTATTCCTCTTATCAGTATATAACACTTTCTTGTCAGTTTAATGTGTATTTTCACTATAATTTTATAGCCCATGAGAGGAGGTATTTGGTTCCTACAGCTGCCATAACAAATTACCACAAACTTGGTGGCTTAAAGCAATATAAATGTATTCTCTCCCAGTTCTGGAGGCCAGGAGTCCAAAATCAAGATGTTGGCAGTGCCATGTTCTCCCTGAAAGCTCTTAGGGAGAATCCTTCCTTGTCTCTTCTGGAAGTTGGTGGAAATCCTTGGCATTGCATGGTTTATAGGCTTATGACTCCACGTCCATCTTCACATGGCCTCCCCCTGGGTCCGTTTCTGTTTCCTTTTCTCCTGTCTCATAAAGACTTGTCCTTGGATTTAGGGCCCATCCTAATCCAGGAGGATCTCATGTTGAGATCCTTTACTTGTTTACCTTTTCCTAAATAAGCTCCTGATGGATGTATCATATGGAGGGGGACTATCCTACCCACTGCAGGGTCTCTGACTATATGCTCATAAATGCTGTATTTTCAATAGGTAGAATGGTTCGTAGGGGACATAATGAGTGCTCAATAAATATTTGGTGAAAGATACAAGGAGAAAAAGGGCATAAAATATAATGGATTCTTAGACTTTCTGGGAAATACCAAATAAAATGGCCATGTGGCAGTTAGAATCATATAGGATGAGGCAGAGAATATCCTTTTGAGGGTGTGAAAGGACAAAGTCCTTTAGAGAAAATCCAATTCAGTCTTTAAAATGTGAACCCCTCGACTCACTGCTTTCCTTTCTCAGCGTATTTGGTTCTGAAGGAAAACTGCCAAAAAGAAATCAAAACATGGCCAGGTGCCATGGTAGATTCTTACTGGGAGAGAGTTAATAATTGCATTTAAGTGTTGTACAAAGAGAAAAAGGCAAAATACACAAAAGAAGCATTGAGTCTGGGTTGCCCTCTCTACAGTAGCCGTGAACCTGTGCTTGGCTTTGCATAAGCCATACTAGGTCATCAGGGACGCGGAGTGTGGCTTCTGCCCCCAGGCGACTTCCCCTCTACTTACAAGACCAACATGTGTAAAATAAGCCCAAGTGTTATTAGTCTGTTCATAATAAAGTGCTGAGTTGTGTAGCAGAGCCTGAGCCTGGGAGAATTTAGAGAAAAGATTATAATGAGGGCACGAACTGTCAGAAAACATAGGGCTTTAGCCGGTCCTGGAAGGACGGTTAAGCTACAGCTGCGTGAAGGCTTTCCTGAGGAGGGAAGGTGACCAGGGAAGACACAAAGGCAGGGGTGTGTCCTGCATGGTTGTGGGTCTGCAAGGAAACAGGTAAATTCAGAGGCGATGGGCAGTCGGAGTGTGGGATGTCATGTCAGATATGTGAGGTGAGCACACAGCAGATTCACTTTTTATTTTATTTTATTTTATTTATTTATTTATTTATGAGACAGAGTCTCGCTTTGTCGCCCAGGCTAGAGTGAGTGCCATGGCGTCAGCCTAGCTCACAGCAACCTCAATCTCCTGGGCTCAAGCGATCCTCCTGCCTCAGCCTCCCGAGTAGCTGGGACTACAGGCATGTGCCACCATGTCTGGCTAATTTTTTGTATATGTATTTTTATTTGGTCGATTAATTTCTTTCTATTTTTGGTAGAGAAGGGGGTCTCGCTCAGGCTGGTTTCGAACTCCTGACCTCTAGCGATCCTCCCGCCTCGGCCTCCCAGAGTGCTAGGATTAGAGGCGTGAGCCACCATGCCTGGCCAGATTTACTTTTTAAAACTGGCTTTCTTTCTAACTAAAGACGGTCAGAACTCATTTGTTGCCTCAGCTTATCCCTCCACCTCTTACTATGTGCTCTCCAACAGTGGGTAGCTAAGAAAAAAGAAGCCTTCACCTCTCCTTACCAGAGGAACCCTACTATTTTGCCTTTTTTTTTTTTTTTTAACTGTCGTGACCACTTAGCAATCCTCATCGGTTAACTTTTCCAGCATTTTGTCCTCTAAATAACGTCATAGGTCACATTCTATTTTTGATCTTATGAGTTTTTCCATTTCTCTTGTGATATTTTCCCTCTCTCAAATGTCCATGTTATTAAATGCATTCATGTAGCAATTTCTGTTTCTTGTCATATTAGATTTAGCTCCTTAAAAGTATTTGGCCACAATTCAATTCTGGTTCTGGAAATTTTTACAAGGCTTTAATGTTTCTTAAAATGGATTTCATTATAGTTTGTTGCTTACTCAGTAGCATCATATTTAAAATGAATAAAAATCCTTTAATGTATTTCCAGATTTTAAAACATCATTGGCATTAGTTTATTGGTAATTCTCTTCATAGAGTGCCTTGGAAACTAAGTTTTTCAACTGTCTATTAATTATTTAAGCATTGGAGCTGAAGAACAATTCAAAGGAATACTTTGAACACGTGCCAAATCTCTGGATTTTTTATTAAGCCTCCTTAAACTTCCAAAAAATTCTCCAGTGTAAATGCCATAAGAATTATTAAAGAGCCAATTAATAAAATGTTTGGGAGATAATTATATCTGAAGTTTAGACTAAGAATCATCAGGTTAAAATTGAGTGCAAAATGGCAAGCAAAAGCAAAATATGACAAAATAAAAAACACAGCTCTCATCTGATAAAAGGAATAGCAAACAAACAAAAATCCCTTTAATCAGGAAGGAGGAATTTTTGGTCTGGCACTAATTTGTTGCCTAAGTCATGGACCACTGAACATTTGGATGCTATATTAATAATTTGTTAAAAGATGCAAAAATAGTTGGCCGTTTATTATGTCACTGATCAATGAATGTTTTTACATTGAGAGAGAAGGGAACTAACATTTAATAAAAGTTGTAGCAGACAGTGTTAATTATTCATCAAATGTTGATTCTCTTTTTTTTCTGAAAGAACCCAGCTAAAAACTTGATGTTCAGCTAGATTTGCAAACTTTGTAGTTAGGTGTGATCACGTGACTAAGTTCAAGTCAATGAGATATAAGTCAAAGTTACTTCTGGAAAGAAGTAACCAAGAAGGGAGAAATGAATGTTTCCTCCCATGGGCCCAGCAGCTGTTTTGGCCATGAGGTGACTTTGAGGACTAAAGATAGGAG